TGCTTACGAGCATCTTCAAGATTGTTTTCATGCTGACAAGTCCCACAGCCGCAGGTGGCCTGTGATTCAAATCATTTCCAACTTACGGTTTTGCTCGTAAATCAGATGATTTTGAGTCCTCAAAGCACAAACCAAACCTTCACATAGACGCAGCCTGACAAGGGCCAGATTAGCTGTGACCGTCTTCTTTGTATGTTGATAAACCAGGATTCAGATTATTCAAAAAACAGGAAACGTGTTATCATAACTCCAATTATATGCAATTTTGGTGTCCTCGTTCGATAGCAGAGGTAGACACATCACCTCCAGAAATTTATCCAGCTGCATGCGTCTCATCCGAGCAGATGACGGTTCTCCAGGACCCTGTCACTTTGTTGAAAAGATTTTGTCATTTACATCGAAAGTCCAGTTGGTCAGATCCAAAACAGTAGTTTTCATTTCAGAAGATGTGTAAAAATAGGAGCTGATCCGATGCACAGACGGAGAGCAAAAAAGCAGGAGGAGAACAGGGAGCGAGGAGAAATGCATGCGCCTCGTTAGAGAGCTAGTGAGAAAAAAAAAACACACTCACAGAGGCCATTACACAATGACCCCCTTTCAAGGATGGGCAACAAATGTTACTTTGTGGGGCAACTATCTTTAACTTCAAACCATCATCAGCTGACCTTCACAAGTCCGGTATTATATGGAATCACCATTAGGTGTATGTTTTTCCAGTTATAACAACCAGGCGTTTTAATAATTATCATTTTCATATCTACCAATGTCACTTTATTTATTTAGGACTTTAGAAACAACAAGGGCTGCACCAAGAGCTGTACTACAAAACTGACAATACGATGAATAGTAAAAAAAGACAAAAATCTTAAAACATGTAGAATTATAACATAAAGTAGTAAAACATAAAAAAAAGTACAAGCATCAAATCAATTTATAAAGCTTCACTTGGGTCAATTACCAGTAAGTAAAAGTGTGTCAGTAAGTACAGTAGGTAAGTCAGTCACCAACACAGAAACAGCAGTAGGAGGCCTAGAACGGTGAGGAACAGCTAAACCTGGGTCCTCCTAAGTGATCTGAATGTAAGCAGATGCACTTCAGTCATGCATTACATCAAGGATACATCACATTTTTTGCAGCAGAATTCTGACCCAAAACAGCCAATGTCATTAACAACTATCACTAACAGAAAAAAAACAAGAAGTCCTTAAAATCATAGTGATTCTGCTCAAAGACATTAAGCATCCTCAAGGTGTTAGGTTAAGCTCTCTCAAGCCACCGACAACATGTCATTAGCTTTTCAACATGTTTGGAACAACTTACCTGTAGGCGTATCTAGAACTGATGCACCATAAAAACATTCTCTTTCTTCTTCACCACATTTTTACTTGATAAGTGATTTATTTGATCTTGAGCCATCTAACCATCTAACTGAGACTTTTTGTCCTTTCTTCATGATCAAACTGCTCCAGCTCTTTCAGATTGGATGGATGCCGCTTGTATCCAATGATCTTTAAATCAAACCAGATATTCCCTGTTGGATTGCAGTCTAAAGCTTTAACTGGAGCATCCCAGAACTTTTAACATGTTCTACCCAAACCATAATGAGTGTATTTTGGGTCATTGTCCTGCTGAAAGTTGAACCTTTGTCCTAGTCTCAGATTTCTGAAAGACCCCAACGAGCCCCTCTCAAGTACTTTTCTGTGTTTCTGCTGATGAATATCCCTGCGGCATGATGCTGCCACCACTGTGCTTCACTGTAGGGATGGCGTTGGTGGAGTATGGTGTAGGGATGGTGTATGATGTGAGAAGGTAGATTTGTAGCAAAGTTGTTGTCTGTGCTTTAAAAGTTCAGTTTTAGTTTCATGTAACTACAACACTTTCTAACGCAGGTTTGGGAACATCCAGTATGCTGAAAAAAGTCCAGAGGACCAGATTTAACTTTTTTAGATCCAGTATGCTGTTTCTCACGCTGCCTGCCTTGTGTTTTTCTTCAAGCAGTGACTTTTCTTGTCCTTTTTCTCCCATGAAGTTCAGCTCTGAGAAACTTATAGTGTTCATTTGGGAGATTACTAGTACCTGTTTATGTATCTTGGTTTCTTCTTTGATGAATGCCCTCCTTACCTGTCCCTTTCTCCACAACTTTGTCTCTTGCAGTCTTAAAGTCATGGGAAAATGTTCTTTTTTAAGTTTTGGCATTCCACATTTCCATCCATCCATCCATTCATCCATCCATCCATCTATCCATTGTCTTTTACCCGCTTCTTCCTTTTTGGGTCATGGGGGGTCACTGATGTCTATATCCAACCATTACTGCACGAGAGACAGTGGACACCCTGGACAGGTCTCCAGTCCAGGGTGTCCCAAATTAAAAGTATAAAACATTTTGAGGTAATTTTGATAGTGCCTGCCCGGTGGTGTGTTTAAATTAAAACTTGTTCCTGTTTGATTGTATAAACTCATTACTTTAAATAATATGTTATAAAATGGCACTCAGCTGTTGGATTAGGAGGTCACATGGTTGAGAACGTGAAGCGCTGTAACAAAATCACTCATTGTAGTAAACAAGCTCGTCCTTCTCCTACATCTTGTTCTAACACCATTAATCCAGAGTAAGCATTTGCACTGGTGTGCCAAACATTTTTAATTGGTTAACCACTTTTCACAACTTCCTGACAACTGCAACATTTCAACATTTAATGCAATTTCTTTTGTTTCACTTATGAATCGTCAGTCATGTCAATGGTTGTAACAAAATTATAAATGAAGTTAAGTGTTTTTATTTCCTGTATTGTGCTTCAGGTTGTGGAGGCATCCTTTATGGAGACCACGGCTCATTCTCAAGTCCCAACTACCCAGGGACATATCCCAACAGTACTAACTGTGAGTGGGACATTAAGGCACCTCGGGGTCGTGTGGTGACCGTTACCTTCGTTCAAATAAGTATTGATGATGCAGGAGACTGTCAAGTGAACTTCTTAAAGATGTATGATGGCCCAGACAACTCTTCACCTCTTATTGGACCTTACTGCGGAATGGTATGTAACTCAGAAGAGCAGTGGCTGTAATATATTTTTATTTTATTATTATTTTTGATGAGGAATAATACTTGGTTTTGAAATGTTCAGTATGTTTCATAACCAGATATGCTTATAAGACCACGTTCTATGGTTTAATCTTTACACTTTAGAAATAAACAGGCAAATCTGGACCACTTTCATAATTATTATTTATCCTCAGTATGTTTTTTAGATCTGACATTTTTCTGTAAGAGAAGAGCTCCCATGAAGATTTCAAACATAATGTAAATTCTCTGAGCCAAAACGTAAAACACTCTGCGCTGAAAGTTTCACATGACATTAAAAGTTGCTCCTTAGTCAGAACACATTTAATAAACAGGGCCTCATGTATAAGAGTGCCCATATTTCATATTGAAAGTTCACATAGGGACTAAATGTGAACAGTATGTGTGCACACAGAAATATTCAGATTTATCAAACCATGCACTCACATTTTTCTGTGCTCCTTACATCCAGACAAACATGGAACTGAGCACACAGACTCCATTTAAATGTGAAAAACAGATTCAAACATGTCCAGAGTATGTCATTTTCTTCTCTGCACGATCAAAAATGATGTCCAGATGCAGGAAAATTACAACTTAAATATAATGAATCTGAGACTCCTAACTAAGTTGTGTGTGAAAAACAAGTTTGTCACACGTGCAAAGAAAAGTGATTGTAAGTTTTTCTAAATTAATTTGCTGATCCAACACAGTTTCTCAGTGAGAAGAAAATGACCCTTTTGCATAGATGATTTCTTTTTTTTTTTTTTTGCTGAGACGTTTCATCCTTCATCCAAAGGACTTCTTCAATCTGAGGAGCCATCAACTAGGCCTATCCCGATAACAAATTTTGCTGGACGATTAATTGTCTCAGAAATTATTGCAGTAAATGATACTATTGTTTGAAATTTGACAATAATTAGTAACTATTGTTAAATTTAGGAAGAAATGTTTGGTTTATTTGTTTGACATGCAGTACCTTGTTTGACCGCTGGATGGCAGTATAAGACTGTTTGAACCAAAGGATGGATAGTGAGGATGCGAGCAGCGTGTCTCTTTAAGAAAAATGGGAGGGAGGACCCTTGACGTGACATGGGCTGTGTCTTCTTCCTTTTGTTCTATTCTGAACAATGGCGGACACTCGGTGTGGTTTGAGCTCTTTAGCATAGCATTTTTCCCACAAAGCTTTTAAGAAAAAATCAGTAAAGAAGTTCTCAGCTTCTTTTTGCAGAGGAAATCAACATTTTACATGAAGGCACTGGTTTCAATCATTTCGACAACATAGAGGTTTTTTTTTCCGAGGTCGGCCTGTTAGGTTAGCTCGTAGCTTAGCTTTTCAGTGTAGCTGCTTATAACGATCCAAAAACGTGATTTTGGATGGTTAAAATGGATTTTAAAGAGCAAAGAGTAAGGGAGAGGTCAGTGAAGAGCACCGGAGTTGAGCCTTTTGTCATCCAGTGTCTTCAGTAGAAAGAGAGACACGAAGAAACAAAAAAGCCGATAAATTAGCGATAAATTAAAATTATCCACCTCATTTTAATTTATCGTGAGATTAATTGATTTATTGTTTATCGCGACAGGCCTATTACCAACAAACTGAGTCCCACAAACAGCATACATATACATGTTTTTTCCATAGTGGGAAAAAAAACAGTTGCTGGTGATAAGATGGCCTCTGGGCCGTTTTGAACACTTAACAGTGGTTAAGCAACAATTACCTGCAACTGAACTCCGATAAAACTGAAACTCTGATTATTGCACCGGAAAATAAGGTTTGTCTAATTGAACAGTATATTGGTGTTTTAGGTCCATCTGTTCAGTCCAGCTTAGAAACCTGGGTGTCACTTTTAACTCTGCAGTGTCTGAAACAACACGCAAAACAACTGACTAGGAACTGCTATTTCCATCTTAGGACCATCTCTAAATTGAATCATTTTCTGTCAAAAGCTGAACTTGAAACGGTCATTCATGCATTTCTTTCGTCTCGCTTGGACTACTGTAACAGCCTATTCACATGTTTAAACAAGAAGGAGCTGGACCATCTTAAGGTTGTTCAGAATTAGTTAACATAAACAAACGAGCACACATCACACCCGTTTTAGCTTCCCTTCACTGGCTCCCAGTTTGTTTTCAGAATAAACTTCAAAATGCTGGTTCTAACTTTTAGAGCCTTGCATGAGCCAGCTCCCTCGTACATCTCAGGCTTGATCCAGCTTCACAGAGGTTGTTCAGGTTGATCAGAGGTTGTTGTTGGTACAACGTACACAATTTAAATCCCGAGGAGATCGATCTTTCCCATCAGTTGCACCGCAGCTCCCAGTCTTTACACAGCCTTGATTCTATAGATGCTTTTAACAAACATTTGAAGATTTTCCTTTATAAACAGGCTTTTAGTTAATAGCTACCTGTTTTCTACTTGCACTTTCATATGAATGTAATATTCTTTGTGATGTTTTTGTTTATTTTATTCAATTTTTAGTTAATTTGTTTCCTGTCTTATTGTGAAGCACTTTGTGATTTGTATCTATAAAAAGTGCTGTACCCTTGTGCTGGCAGACATCTTTAACACCTCACTTACCCTGGAGACAGTTCCCACCTGCTTGAAGACTGCCACCATCATCCCAGTCCCAAAAAGCTCTACAGTGACTGGTCTGAATGACTATCGGCCAGTGGCCCTCACCCCGATAGTCGCTAAATGCTT